TAGTATGATGTTTTTCGCATGATACATTTCCTAGTTATGTGTCTGGTGAGGTTAACGTAATGGGGGGATGGGGGGGAGGGAGACGTGAGTGGGGATTGGGGAGGGAGGAGACGTGAGTGGGGATTGGGGAGGGAGGAGACGTGAGTGGGGATTGGGGGGATGGGGATGGTGTTAGCGGAAGAAGGAAGAATGAAGCTCCTGGCCTTCCTTTACCTTCTTTCCTTCCTTCCTTCCTTCTTCCTTGATCTCCTTCTTCACCCACTTGGGCTGGTGGGTAGAGAGACGACTTCGCATTTTACAGGTCACAGCGTTCGATCCCCCGATGCTCTAGGTGGTTGCTTGGGACGCCCTTGTTATCTTTCTTTACATGCGTGTTTATTCACTCTCTAGTATTTGATTGTGTTGGTTATTTGGCCTTGATTTTTCACATTTTTCCAGATATACAGAAGTATAGTCTGGGTGCTCTATACGTGCTGTATAGAGTAACATCATGGTGTATGGTAACTGCACAGTGAATGCTTCTACATATACTATATAGGCATATATATATATGCCAAGTGATTCCTGTATATTTCTATACTAGTGAGCGAACTATATACTAGGAGGCCTGGTCGACGACCGGGCCGCGGGGACACTAAGCCCCGGAAGCACCTCAAGGTCAAGGAACTCGTGAATGCTTCTATATATGCTGAAAGCCACCTTGTATGTTAGCATACCTACGTATGAGCGTAGATGCTGTCACTGGAACATCATTTAAGAGAGGGAGTTCGAGATTATCACGTGTTTACCCAGGCCGCCATCCGAGATAAGGACAGCATTACCCAGACAACCCTAAGAGGCAACAGAAAAAGTTTGGGACCTTCACGTGCTGGCCAATGAGAGCCGCAGAGGCAGTGAAAGTGGGTGGAGCCTTCTTTGTGGCAGCCAATGAGAGCTACAGAGGCACTGAATGTGGGCGGTGCCTTTAAAAATTGGCCAATGAGAACAGATAATAATAATACTAATAATTTGTTTTGTAGGGATGGGGCAGGCCACCAGTGTAGGTATATATATGTTAAGTAACCTGTCCTTAAGAATGATGTACTTTTGTGGTAATCACTTAAAAATTACTACATAATTAGAAATCTTATGTTCTCCCTGTTATGTTATGTGGGAGCCGGTCGGCCGAGCGGACAGCACGCTGGACTTGTGATCCTGTGGTCCTTGGTTCGATCCCAGGCGCCGGCGAGAAACAATGGGCAGAGTTTCTTTCACCCTATGCTCCTGTTACCTAGCAGTAAAATAGGTACCTGGGTGTTAGTCAGCTGTCACGGGCTGCTTCCTGGGGGTGGAGGCCTGGTCGAGGACCGGGCCGCGGGGACACTAAAAGCCCCGAAATTATCTCAAGATAACCTCAAGATATAACCTCCCTATCCATGGTTAGGTTAGGTTAAGATTAAGGCTTAGGTTGGGTTCTTTTAGGTTCGGTTTGATTTGATTAGATTAGGTTAGGTTTGATTATGCAAAAAACATTGTATTATTCTCAAAAAATCTGAAATATAAAATTCGAAAACTATTTGAGTATCCCATATAATTTCGCATTAAGGACAACCTAAACCTAAGGACATATCAAAGAAAATTATTTTACCACAGACATATAATACTTTAAACCACTGATTTATAATACAATACAGTTATAAATTTAGCAAATTCCCTGTTTAGGACAAAGGTTCACTTGCCAATTTACAAGTAGACTATTATTGGAACCGTAATATGCTTTCAGATCATCTCAAATCTCTTAGATAACTATCCAGGTGGTGAAAGAGGGAGGTTGGCGTCTGGTGGTAATCACTTCTGACCTTAGGCTGGTATCAAAGACCCTCCCCCCCCCCACCTCGACCAAGGTCGAACTACTACACAAAGTTTATGTGTAGAGTGATACAAAGTTTGTGTAGATTTATATAAATTTTATGACAGGAGTGATACAAAGATTATGAGCAGATTGCTAAAATATTTACGTGGATTGATACAAAGTTTGTGTAGATTGATGCAAAGTTTACACACATCGATTCATACAAAGTTTACACAGAGATTGATACAAAGGTTGCGAGCAGACTGATACAAAGTTTACATGTAGATTGATGCAAATATTACGAGAAGATTTTGATATAAAGTTTACCAGCAGATAGATTCAAGATTTACGAGCAGACTGATACGAAGTTTACGTGTAGATTGATAGACAAATTTAACATAATTTACATATACAAAAGCTTTTCATATCCTGATCTTATCTCCATCATTATCTACTTCCAGCACAAAATCGTGTACCATGCAGGAAATTCAGATATGTTATCATCACTAGTAAAGAAGTGGACCATTGTTCCGTCATGCAACATTGCATTTTATATAAAGAGATTACGGTACAAATATTAGAACTGAATTGAATTTAAATACTTTATTAATAAATGTTTTGTACAATTACTGTATAGTTGGGTTAGGTTAGGTTCGTTAACGTCTACGTAATGAAAATTATATGCTCAAGTTCAAGTTCAAGTATGTTTATTGAGACAAGAAAAAATACATCTCAAAGGGATAGAGTAGCTTAGGCTATTTCTACCCCCCTTAAGTAAAGGGAGTGGGAATAGGCTCCATGCGAACCTAATTGTTCGCATTCGATTGTGTGAAAAAAATTGACAAATTCGGGTACAGAACAGGAATTAGGATCGAATATAATACATGCTCTATCAACACTAAACCACACAATTTGTAATGTTAGAGAGTTATACGAAATTTTGGCAAACTTTAGAATTACCTTCAAGTGTATAGGTTAGAGAAACGTTAAATTAAATATTTATAACGTATGTCAGACTTAAACGGCAGTACGCAGCTGTGGTATGATACTTGCATTTAATAAAACACACTGACAAAGTATAAAATGTTCAGACATGCAACGAAATGGGTTACAAATTTGGGAAAGTCGAGATACGAGAAAAGATTGAAGTTTATAGAGATTAAAAATCTGAAAGACAAGACAGAGGACATGATTACCACATACAAAGTTATTAACGTAAATGCGAAAACAAAGATTATTAAACTTTAAAAACTGCAACAGAGTTGTTGTTATTGGAATAAGAAATCTGAAGAGCTTGTGTGCTAAAGCCATTAGAAGTTTATAAACCGTAGTAAAATATACAAGAAACACTGGAATCTACGAGCACAACTTTTTACCTGAAAGTAGAAATAGATACAATACTTACTAGACACGCACACGCACACCCACACACACACACACACACACACACACACACACACACACACACACACACACACACACACACACACACACACACACACACACATACACACACAGTTATGAGGAAATGCTGCGTGAACTACATCTCACGTCGCTGGAAGACAGAAGAGCTTGAGGAGACATGATCACCACATACAAAATTCTCAGGGGAATTGACAGGGTAGACAAGGATGGATTATTTAATGGTGGTACACGCACAAGGGGACACAGGTGGAAGCTGAGTACCCAAATGAGCCACAGAGGCTGACTCCATACACAGTTTCAAATGTATATATGATAGAGCTCGAGAAGCTCAGGAATCTATACACCAGTAGATTGACTGTTGAGAGGCGGAACCAAAGAGCCAAAGCTCAACCCCCGCAAGCAGAACTAGGCGAGTACGTAAACACACACACACACACACACACACACACACACACACACACACACACACACACACACACACACACACACACACACACAGTAAATAGGTACCTGGGAGTTAGACAGCTGTTACGGGCTACTTTCTGTGTGTGGGTGTGTGGGGGGGGGGGGGAATTAGTAGTTAGTAACAGTTGATTGACCAATGAGAGGCTGTCCGAAAGAGCAGAGCTCATCCCCCGCAAGCACAACTAGGTGAATAAACTAGGTGAATACGAGGAGTGATGGGTAAGGGGGGGGGGGTGCAGGGAGGTAAACTCATGCCCCACATGATGATATCCAGCATCATAACTACTGTGCCATGACCACCCCTGAGCGGATATTAATCTCAATAAATCGCAGCTGGGACCCGGCCAGCCAGAAGGGTCCCACTATGCCATAAGGGACCCGGGGGTACCAAAGGTCGCAACGTACTATAAAGGGCCCAGTGTACTATAGTGAGTCTAATGTACCATAAGAGTCCAAGCATACTTTAAGGTGCCCACTGTACCTCATCGAGTGTATATATAATATATATAAGGATCCCAGCGTACCGTTAGAGTGTACCATAAGAGGCGCCAGGATGCATTACGGTTCGATGGTGCTTCACGCTCTATGGGAACCATTTTACCACAAAGAACTAACGCAGCCATAAGGTCCCATCCCACAATGGGAAGCAAAACACCGATTTCGATCTCGGTGAATGTTTCTTGAACGTAGACTAATGTTTTGGTCACTACACCAGACTTTGGTTGGTCAGACTTAAAGAAACGTAACACAAATTTGTGCACGTTATGCTGTGTAACAAGTTAATTTAATTCAATATATAACTATCCAACTGGTTATGTCTATGATGCGTTCCACCCTCATAGTGCTTAGTAAAATATTACATATTTACATCACACCAACGTGTTTTACCTTCAAGTGTTCAGGAATATTTACCCGATAAAAATACCTCTAGCTTTAGATATTTTTAGACAATATTTACTACAAAGTGTAAATCAATATGTATATATACACTTCTTGGTGTATATATACATATTGAGTTTACATTAGGCCTGGACTAAGTTAAGAGTAAACTTGCTAGTTAGCAAGTTATTGTAGTTGCCGTTAATAACTCTCCAGAGGTTGAACGGTTACCAAAGATATATCCCAAGCCCAACACCAAGCCTACTACAGGCTCACCATAGCCCGTGCTACTTGGAACTTTTTGCTCCAGGTAGCGAATCTTAAACAACACCACCACCAAGAAAGGACTCAGATACTTCAACTGTAAGCTGCACTTGCAACAACAGTGAACATTACTCACAGTCTTGTCTCCGAGGTTGGTGACCCGACAGGGCAGGGTGACAGTGTGACCCAGGACGGCCGTCACGTTGACCTGGTCACTGGCCACGGACGGCTGGCCCGCGTCCTCCCATCCGTGCCACCACTTCTGTGACGCTGACTCCAGCACTCCTGTTGACAACATCAAAAATATATGTACTCCATATTTATACAAAAATTCTATGTACACACACACACACACGGTGCTACATAGCCTTCCCGGTTTGGTGCCTTCTTTTGATAATTACTTACATACATACATACACATATAGGCAGTGTGTGTGTTCCCCAGGCGCGCTCTAGACGACTAGAGCGCGCCTGGGAACACCCAGCGCATAGGTTCGAACCTTTCTCAGGGCTCCTGTTGGATTTGTTCATTGATATATCACGCTAATGTAATTTCTCTGTGTACAGTAATTGTCTTGAGTCGAGATTAACCTGACAGCGTTTCCAAGCTTATCTGCTGCTCAATAAATACATCCTAACCCATTATGAGGCAAGAAGTCAAGGCTTCGTAAGTGGACACGTAAGTTCTTGATGAACCCCCCCTGGCCTAGTCTCTTTTGCACGAATTTTAAATAAACTTGGTTCCCCCTTGGGGAGTAAATGGTATATGTCTATGATTTTATCTCACCAGCAACCAGCCTCGCTCCTTCAGCCGCTCTGCCAGTCTTAATATTTACAGTGAGGGCCACTTGAGAGCCACTTCTCTCGAGTGTGATCCTCTTCTCACTAATGGTAAGGGACGAGATCCCTTTTTATGGGCTGACGGGTTTTCCGACAGCCTATTGCTACCGTTGTCTTCCACTCTCTCTTCCACTCTTCTCTAAATTTAGCTCGTCGTCTACTTACCAACAGTCTAACGACCAGTCAACCCCTAAAGCAACCACTCACCTACCGTGCCGTCAGTCTGTTAACAGACGAGCCCATAGTCACCCTGCCTGGCTATTCTACTTGTGTACGTGTCACTAACCTACCTAAATGTCTACCTCCATGTCCATCTACTTGTCTAAATATCTACATCATTTTCCATCCACCTCCCTACTTAGCTGTTCAGACAAGCAACTAGTCCACACGCATCTCTTACATACCAATCTCATTTCATATTGACATTTCATCTACCTCCCTTCCTTCCTGCCTCACTTCCCTCTCTCATTCCCCTCACTCCGCCTTCCCCCCCCCCTCTCTCTCTCTCTCTCTCTCCCTCGCTTCCCTTCCATTACAGCATACTCATGGTACTCTTTGTAGTACTTTCCCCTTTGCTACTTGATATGTTTTGAGTAATCCTCCTCTGCACGCCCCGGGAGTAGTCGGCCCCTCAGAGGCTAGATTCACGAAGAAGTTACGCAAACACTTACGAACCTGTACATCTTTTCTCAATCTTTGGGGGCTTTGTGTACAATTATTAAACAGTTAATGAGCTCCGAAGCACCAGGAGGCTGTTTATAACAATAACAACAGTTGATTGGCAAGTTTTCATGCTTGTAAACTGTTTAATAAATGTAACCAAAGCCGTCAAAGATTGAGGAAAGATGTACACGTTCGTAAGTACTTGAGTAACTGCTTCGTGAATCTGGCCTCAGGAACCCGCAACACAGTCTAGGACACCATTGTCGACTTGCTGGGAAGGGGAGACGTTGATCATGTTATCTTGAGATATCTTGAGATGATTTCGGGGCTTTAGTGTCCCCGCGGCCCGGTCTTCAACCAGGCCTCCACCCCAGGAAGCAGCCAGTGACAGCTGACTAACACCCAGGTACCTATTTTACTGCTAGGTAACAGGGGCATAGGGTGAAAGAAACTTTGCCCATTGTTTCTCGCCGGCGCCTAGGATCGAACCCAGGACCACAGGATCACAAGTCCAGTGTGCTGTCCGCTCGGCCGACCGGATAATTGTCTGTCAACAACTCTGCAGTGTTGCATAAAAACATTCGATATAATACGTCAGTATGGCAACGTTCCCCAAGCAAGTATACTGCAGTATATTCCTACAGTGTCAATATTACTTTTTGTTGTTACCAGTGGGATATATTGCTCGGGTATACCCAGTACTAGTTAGTGAGGTCTTGACTGTCAGGTATATGGGGTCTTGACTGTCAAGTATATGGGGCCTTGACTGTCAGGTATATGTGTCTTGACCGTCAAGTATATGGGGTTTTGACTGTCAAGTATATGGGGTTTTGACTGTCAAGTATATGGGGTCTTGACTGTCAGGTATATTGGGCCTTGACTGTCAGGTATATTGGGCCTTGACTGTCAGGTATATGGGGGTCTTGACTGTCAGGTATATGTGTCTTGACCGTCAAGTATATGGGGTTTTGACTGTCAAGTATAAGGGGTTTTGACTGTCAAGTATATGGGGTCATGACTGTCAAGTCAAATATACGTGTCTTGAATGTCAAGTATATGTGTCTATTAGGTGAACGGCGGCATCAGGGGTAAGGAAAGGTCCCCAAACATCTCATCCTAAGAGTGTTTAAAAGACAGGTATGGAGTCAGGAGAGGTGATTATTAGTGCAGTGGGAAGTATAGTTAAAAATTTACCAAAATATTTTCCCAGTGTAAAATGACTTGTGAAGGAGTGCGAGGATCTTACTGTTTGTTCAAATATTGTTTACTTCTCTTATGCTATAGTTTGGAATACTTGCATCTTACAGTCTTCTCCCTGTAGTGACATTAAATTACCATATTACATGGACGTTCACTACCCAACATGGGCGTACGGGTCTATTTACGAACGTTCGGTTGCTAGAGTGAAAATTACGCCTGTAGTGAATCTGTAATTATATTGTCTGAGAATATTCTGCACATCTTGTAATCCTGTATATAATGTATATCTTGCAATCCTGTATATCCGGTACCTGTGAATGGGATCCCAAATATGATCTATTTCCGGTAACCAGAGAGAGAGAGAGAAGGGGAACACGTTTCCTTCTCATCTGGCGCTCTTGAACTGTGAAAATGGTAACAATTAAAATGTAACTTTGTCACCACAGAAGGAAATTCGTCTTAATATCATTTACCCTTTTACTGTTGTGCATTACGATGAGACTGGAGGAGCCAAGCCATTACGACTATATAGCACTGGTAAGGGGTCAGGATAAGGACTGAAGGAGAGAACAGCAACATCTGCTGGTGAGGAAACTTCGATAACGAGAATGACCGCCAGACAGCAGAATGAGACACCAGAGATTTGAGAGGGACAGAAGAGGGAGTCTTGGGGGCTCGGCAAAGACATGGGTAGAATTTGATTCTGATATGACCATGAAAAGCCACACTATTTACAACCAGTGCAGCTACGAGACGTGTAACATCTTGCCGGTGCTTGGCAGCAACATACGCAAATTTCTACACAAAACACAGGTTACTCACATCATCTATAGTCTCTCGTACCTCTCTCGTTTCCGGGGCTGCATACTGAGAATGGTCAGTGTAAATATCTGTGATATCAAATGTATATGATAGAGCCGAATAGGCTCAGGAATTTGTACATCTGAGGCGGGACCAAAGAGCCGAAGCGCAATCCCCCCGCAAGCACAATAAAGTGAGTACACACCGTTATCTTGAGGTTATCTTGAGTTGATTTCGGGGCTTTAGTGTCCCCGCGGCCCGGTCCTTGACCAGGCCTCCACCCCCAGGAAGCAGCCCGTGACAGCTGACTAACACCCAGGTACCTATTTACTGCTAGGTAACAGGGGCATTCAGGGTGAAAGAAACTTTGCCAATTTGTTTCTGCCTCGTGCGGGAATCGAACCCGCGCCACAGAATTACGAGTCCTGCGCGCTATCCACCAGGCTACGAGGCCCCTTACAAAACAACGGGGGAGGATTCACAGGGAACCAATCCTTAAATGCTCGCCCCTCTTCACCTAGCAGTAACTGGGGACGTGGGAGTAAGTAAGACTGATTAGCGCGTCGGGATCCAGTGAAAAACTATTAGGCTTACCATGAGCTATGGGAAGGAAAAGCTCTCAGCCGGCTAATAGGAGTCAGAAGTCATTACTGTACCAACTGGTGTTTAAAAAAAATGAGAGAGAAATGGAGAGAGCGTGAAAGGGGAGGAAGCTCTTGGACTCTTAGTGGGCAAGTTTCTTAAGTCATTCTGTCACATCTGCTACCCACATACCCCGCCATATTACCCCTACCATCATGTCGGGGGAAATATTTCCCTCAACGATGTGTGGTGGTGATGGCGTGGTGGTGGTGGTGGTGGCGTGGTGGTGGTGGTGGCGGCGTGGTGGTGGTGGTGGCGGCGTGGTGGTGGTGGTGGCGGCGTGGTGGTGGTGGCGGGAATTGACTCTTAGAACTCATCAAAATATAAATGTCTTTAGTCTCGACTTTACTCATAGTTTTATTATTGTTTACATTCCAGCTGTTTAATGGGCAGTTTGCTGTCAGCATTTGGTGCAAGTTTTATATAGTAATGAGTAATGAAATCAGTAATAAAAATTGTTTACTATAAACATTAATATTATTATTTATTTCACCATATAATGATACATTTAATCTGGTTTTTGTTGTAAACAAATGCAATGAATTTATGGTTACAAAATAACAGGAAATGCTGTTAACTTTTAGTTTCTTAAATATATATAAAATATAAACTAAAGCATGAATTTACTTAATAAAGCTTACTGCGTACTTTGATACAATTTAAGGAGAGATGGAGAACAATATATGTGAATATAAATTATTGTTTAGAAATTTGGCTCTGGTATATAAAGAATAATGTATGTGTATACATTTAAATTAAGAGTCATTGTTTTTTTAACTGGGTAATTTGAGTAGTACCTGTCCACCATTGACAGTATATCACGTGTCGCCTCAAGTGGACGAATCAGTGTCCAGAGGACAAAGAATTGTGTCCAGCGGACAAAACATTGTGTCAAGGTGACGATTTATATTATCAAGTATACGAATCATCGTGTCAAGTACCCGAATCATTGTAATAAGTGAGCGAATCGTCTCAATGCCGTAGTCAAAATATTGTTAGAAAAGTCGGGCGCTTACACCCTTTTGGCTCTAACCCCACTCATCTGGCTAAAGATGAAGTCTCTTCTTTGAAATATGTGCAACCCGATGCCTTTATGGCCCCTGTAGACCACAGCGCTAATGGGCGTAAGCCGCGTATGT